CACCTGAGCGTTTGGCCCAGGACGCCGCGCCCCACCAAGGAGCCGAGGGAGTGGAGCGGGCGGAGAAAACAAAAACACGTCACGGGTTGCGGGTGGCGACGCCATGCAGCTTCCTTTCCTGGGGAGGTCGTAAAACTTTCGGTTGGTAAGCTAGAACTTTACACTTCGTCTAATCCGTTCCCCCTATTAATAAAGGTCTCCCTAATAATAAATATTTGTTTCGGAAGTCCCAAATCCGGGAATATTACTTTTAGAATAGCCAATACTAAACCAATTCTAAAGTAGATATTTTCCTGCCCGTACTCAAATCCAGCCCCATTAGGGGGACCCCGGGGGCACGTTTCCTTTACTACGGCTGTACTACAAAGTTGCGACTTTCGAGCCAGAGCTCCGGGAGCACGTTTCCTTTACTACGGTTGTACTACAAAGTTGCGACTTTCGAGTCAGAGCTCCGGGAGCACGTTTCCTTTACTACGACTGTACTACAAAGTTGCGACTTTCGAGCCAGAGCTCCGGGAGCACGTTTCTTTTACTACGGCTGTACTACAAAGTTGCGACTTTCAAGCCAGAGCTCCGGGAGCACGTTTCCTATACTACGGTTGTACTACAAAGTTGCGACTTTCGAGCCAGAGCTCCGGGAGTATGTTTCCTTTGAGAACCTGCCCTCCAAAACCTGCCCTCCAGAACCAGGGGACCCCTAATAATAAAAATTGTGTTGCAGGCCGGGTATTTTTTTATTAGGGAGGGGGGGGGGGGTGGGGGCGTCGTTTATTATTAGGGGGAAGGGATTAGAAGTGGTTCTTGCCGTTGGGGTGATGTTTTCTCGTAGCGTTAACGCGGCTTGGGGTGAGCCCAAATAGATTGCCGAGACTGAACTGGCTTTTCCGCCCCGTGTGCCCGGCCTAAGCCTGGCACAAGAGCATCCGTTGGGATGCAAAGCCTCCGATATCCTCCGGTGTTTCATGGGCCAGCTGACATGAGGCGCTCTGAAAAAAGATGTTTCCTGCACCATCCAGAGGAGAAGACATGGATGTCGCTTGATCCCAGGTCGCCCTTGCACAAGTTCATTTCTCTGAAAGAGAATCTACTGGCATGGGTAGTTGTGTAATGTCGCTTGGAGGTTTCTCAAAACAGTGGTTCAATGGGTTGTCCGCTTTGGTTCCCCTGCCACCAAAACTGGGGAGACCCATGTTGAGCAACCTCCATTTGGGTGCTAACCCCCAGCCCCAAACAAAAAAATAGTGGGGGTTCCTGTGGTTTTGCATGAACCACCAACAAACATGGGGTACCTTGAAAAAAGACGAGCCACCCATTGTTCGCACACAGGAAGGCAATTACCCCTCCGCCCCTCATGCTCAATGTCGCAGGCCCGTCTGAGCCGTGAGAGCGCCTCCAGTGGGAGACCTGAGGAGGGTGGGTTGCACAAAGCCATGGCCAGGTGATTGGATTTCGACTTTCGACACACCATCCGAGATGTTTCAAAAGTCCGAGATGTAAGCACGCTGCAACTTTGGCAACTTGAAGCTGAAACAGCACTTTCTTGCCAGGTGTTTGCGTCTCTTTTGGGGACGGTGCCTGAGGCCTTGTTGGATCTTGTTGGATCTTGTTGGCCAGGCTTTTGTCTCTTTGCGGATCCCTGCACGGCCTTCGACAGCACTTGTTGCAAGCGTGAGCCACGGTCCACTTGCCTCACGGCCATCCTTCAGATGCTTTTTTAAGCAGTTGGGTGTTTCCTTTGGTACCAGCCATTTGCGATGTTGCTTTTGGTTGTCCCCGAGGGAAACCAACAGCAAACCACCCATCGGCCACATTCAGACACGCGCCGCAGTTGTTCAGCGGCACCCTTGAAATCCCTTGTTGTCCGGTTTGTTTCTCTTTTGACCTTAAAAAAGGACGGAATCAACCGTCAAACGGGTTCCCGGGTTCCATCATGTTTCCCCCTTTTGCCTCGTTTTGCCGCATTCAAAAGGGTTCCATTTGTTCTCCAGGGTCACCGGGAATAAGTCACAGCCAGCGACTGTCAATTGTTAACGTACGTCTGACCATTTGACACCAGCAAGCTGTGACCTTGCGAAGGGGTGTGGGTTTGCGACATCGCCAATTCAGACTTTTCTCCCCAATCGGATTTTGCTTCCTCTGGGGTTGGTGCAATGGCTGTCTCCTGTTGGCTTCAAAAGGGAATTGTGTGTTTCTCACCCAGGCTTGCTGCATTGCTCACGAGGGTGTGCGTTTTGATTGGAACGTATGCCGAAACCAGTGGAACGTCTTTTCTTCAAGCGGGGGGCCTTTATGCGAGCATCTCTGGGAAATTTAGAGACAGACACCATTTGACTCTCGTGGTATGGGTAGTTGATGCCCCCCCCCCTTTCGGCCTTTCAGCTACGCACATGACATCGTTTGTTTCATTATGGTTTGATCCCCGCAATCGCTTAGGAATCGGTACCCATCCAAATAGTAGGCGGAAAGTCAGGGCCACTTCAAACTTTTGGCAAAGCTCATACGGTTTCAACAGCTGAGACTTCATCCAAGTACAGTTTCTGTGAGTTTGCATGTAACGGCAAGTCGGCTGTGACGGCAGCTTTTGAACATTTTAACAACTTATTCCGAGCCAATCCACTCCGGACTGCGTGTAGGGGATGGAACTTCCCACTCACTGGAACTCTGAGGTGGCACCAGCGGCACCGAGGCCAAGATGGGGACCATGGTGCGTCTTTGTGTACATTCCATGGTTCCACTGAGCTGCCGGGCACGATAGCGGTTGTCTCAAGAACGCTAGGCTCTGCGTATGGAAAGGAAAACATCTATGGTGCCACTTGGAAGCTCTTGGGACGTTGAACATACATCCGGAAGCCTGCCAGATGCGAGTTGTTCCCTGAATCTCCGGCGCCTTTTGGTTGCCTTGCTGAGTTAAGACCCTTTGGACGCAACGGTGGAGAGAGAGAGAGAGAGAGAGAGAGAGAGAGAGAGAGAAAGAGAGAGAGAGTGCCCTTGTACTGCTGCCCCAAGGAGTCCCAAGCCCCTTTTTGTTGAACTCCACAGGCACCAAAGGATGGTGTTTTTTGGTGGGAACAGCCCCCCAAGAAAGGGGGGTCCGATCCCCAGGTTTGGAAAGTTTCTTGGGCTCCGCTTTTCCATAGTAAATCCGGAGTGTCTCATCCAGAAGTACTGAAATAATTAATGACCACCAACCAAAACGCAAGTTCGCAAGGATCCATAGGGTGAAGCGCTTTGACTATTTGTGCCGCTGCTGGAAAGCGTTGGCTCAATGTTCTCCTCCGGGTTGATTGTTGGAAGCTTTCTTGTGCAGCAGCAATTGGAAGGAGAGCTACCTCGCCTAGTCTCGTGGTCCGACCAGATCGTGTTCACCCAAGTCTGCAACGACCGGGCCTGTTCGGCGGTCCTTTGATTGTGGTTTGCCCGGTTGGCATCCAAGACCATAGCGTTTCCACTGCGTTTGTTCTTTGAATCAAACCTCCAAACAAGAATTGGAGCCCCCTTCCTTAGGCGTATTGAGTCCTTTTCACTTTTCCAGTGGCCAAACTTCAGCCCTTGGCAGTTATGAGCCGAACAGTTTTGAGGTTTCATTTGAACCGCCGCAACTTTGACGGCCCTCTTATGTCCGAGTAACATTCCGTTACTCCATACCATCGCATCACTTGGCCCTTATCAAACAAGCCCCAAGCGGAATGCCACGTGCAGGTTTCTTGAAATGGGATTCGACCCGGCCCGAAGGCGACCAACTGGTTTGAGCTTGCGATTGACCACAACGTCAACTTCGGAATCCGGACCTGAGTCAGAGGACCCCCTCGCATCGACAAGGTCCTATCAAGGGGAACCACCCCTGATTGGTACGGTCCTGGATTAATCGAAGGTTAATATTATAGACTAGAAATCAGATCAGAGACACAAACGGCTTGCATTCACACCCACACCGCATCTTCAGGCGAGCGCTGTCAGCCCACAAGAGGAAGCGCGCGGGCGCCTGCGCTTGCATCCTGCCAGTGGGCAGGTTCAAACACGGTTGCGAGGGTTAGCCTGTTGAGCCAAGAAGCAACTTTTGAACTGTTGAGAAATGTCACTTTAGAGGTGAGCCTGGATCTTCAGCTTGGGCTCATTTGGGCTCGGTCACTAACCAAGCATTCTGTGGTTGCCCCTTGGGCTTCCACATGTTCCCTTGAACCGGCAAACAGCTTACTTTTTCGCAGGGTATCAGCCTTTTACCGCGAGTTGTTTGGAGGCTGGTGGCAAGCCCAGCCATTGGTTCCTGAGAACTTGTAGCAGGGGATCTGAGGATGGCTCAGGATTGACCCCCAAGTCAACCAAAGTTTGGTCAATGTTCGTTGAATGGGCGCAACCCATTTAGAGGGAATCTGGAATCACTTTACGGGGTGTTGCAGACCTAAATTTCCCGGAAGAGATGATGCGATGTGGGAATCCGCCGGAGGGAATCCACCCTTGTCAAATAAAATGCATTCAGCCCTCTCCCCCAGCACAAACCAGCACAAACCAGACACTGGACGACCTGTAAAAGAATAGCCACCAACTCGAATGAAGCAGTCTATGCGAATGAGATGTTCGCCAGGGCCCATGCAGCTCACACGGGTCAGGGCCAATGGCCCAACCCGGGAGGCCAAAAACCTTCGGCCCAGGTCTACGCCCAAGGCAGGACGCCAAGACTTGGAGAAGGCGAAGCCGGGCTCGGCCGGTCGATTTGGAGAGCCACATGCCCATTGGAACCCGGCCAGGGGGGCCCTTCTAAAGGAAAATTATTTTCCAGGACCCCGAAACGTCAGGTCCCACGTTAGTGGATTGGAGGTCTTGTCACTCTTTGGACTACCCGGCCAAACACAATTTGCTAGGTTTAGTCAAGTCCTGGAGGAGAACTTCATAGTTTAAGGGGTGTTTTCCATCGGGGAACACGATGCACAGCCGGGGAAATCACTGACATTTGGCCTCAAGAGGGTGTTCCAAAAGGGCCATGTGCTCCAAGAGCATGTTTGTTGCGAGGGTAAAGCCGCGAAATTTGCCCGGGAAGATTTCAGTGGATTAAATAGCCAGGTTGACCATGATTAATTACAATGGGCAAAGCGGGTTTTGGTTTGCCACCAATTCCGGCCCCCATGATGAACGTCCTTTTCATGGGGAGTCCGCATTTTGGGTTGGTGAGCTGCCATCGTTCAACTCAAAACCATCATAGAAAGTGCTGTAGCGTATCCAAAGTCATCATTCATACTGATAAGCAAAACGATGGTAATGGTAATGCATCCCTCTGAAAATAGCCCACAGAGTTAACCCCCCTCCAACCGGTTTAATTTGGCGGCCCTTGGATCTGTATGTTGGTCTCCATTTGATATCTCTACCTTGTGGCTAAGGGACGTTTAGTGGTTCAAACCATAGGTAGGTCGAAGAAGCCAGGATCCCCCTTTCGTTTTGGTCGAGTAGGATCCCTGAGATCAGGGTTGTGGGATCAAGGGGTGTATCCCCACTTCCGTGATACAAGGGGATCCCTTCTTAATATGGGGTTAGCCCCTTTTGGCTCCGTTTCCCACAGCCCTGTGCCAGGAGGGGCAGCGCTTGCGCATCGAGAATGCCGCCAGAAGCTTGTGGGAGTCAGTTGGGGGCTGTACGCCCCTGTGAGGGGCCTAGGTTCTACCAAGGCAGTCGATGCACGCCTTGTACGTGGCACACCTTCCTGCTCCCGCCCGCCTGGAACACTACGCGCGCGTACCCTGCGCGAGAAGCTGCAGGAATGGTCACGAAGCCTTCATAAATTCAATACTGACAGGTCCTGCTTGAGCAAGGATTCCCTGTTTTCCTCCTTTTGGCAAGGCCAACAAGGGTTGGCCGCTTGGCCAAACGCAGGTTAGACACCATGACTGTGATATTCACCAGGCTATGACCATGGAGCATGAAACTTGCTTTCTGTACGCTGAGCTCACCAGAAGCGGCCCCACAGCAACATGGAACCGGGAATGTTTTCGATACTCGCCCTTGTCGACTATATCTGAGGTGTTTGGAGTGGTTGCTTAAATGATCCAATGGTCAAGGCTTGTGGGCATCCGGTGTTGCAGCTTCGCCTCAGGAACTGAAGAAGCGTTTACAGTTCGGCTCCGAGTTTTTGAAGCAGGACAGCGAGGGATGGTGAGGGTTCCTTATCAGCGTAACCTTACCTTACCCTTCTCAGGCGCTCTTCAAGAACGCATTCGGGCCAGCTGAAATTCACAAACTGATTTCAAGGATCTTCTTATACAAGGCTGTTTTTAGCCCGGTTTTTCGAGTTTGCAAGCCATGGTTCTCCGATAGCCAAAATGTGATGTTTAAGGCAGCGAAGTCAAGCCTGAACGATGCAAGATTACGAAGACCTGCAAGCCAATCTCAACATGGCTCTGGTCATTTTCTTTGTATATGCTCCTTTGTACATCTCGGTTTGAGAGAGAAAGTCCTTCTGTTCAGATTGCTAAAGCTTCGGTTCGGTTTACCCTGGCTACCTGGAGCCCACCGGGTGAGGCGGGTGAGGGGCCATTGGACGGAGAAACGGCCCTTGGTCGCCCTGCAAAGGAGAAAAAAAAACACCTCTGACGTTTGTGAGCCATAGGATTGCAACCTCCTCCCCCCCGCCCCGCCTTGGAGAAGCCAGAGGTCCCAATAGCGTGCTTTGGGCAGCTCCCCCGCCCTAGTTGTTGGGCAAGAAGGCGGCCAGCGGCTTTGCTCCTGGGAAACGGACAGTGATCCTTATTTTCCCCATGTTGGAAGTATCAACAGTTGCTGTTGTGTGGCCGTTTAACTGGCGTTTTCCCCTTCATGCTGCAATGCTTGCTTGTGATACACACTGTCCTACCACAGAATGGCAGCATTCGGCACTTGAGTTGTGCCTCATGCGCATGTCTCCCAGATCCATGTTTGACCCAGGTGATTTCATACAATGCTCCCGACATTGGTGAATATTATGTTGAAGCTTGCCCTTCCGTAAGTCCATCCAAGCAGACTCTGATCACCAAGTAACGCGCTTAGTGGAAAACAGCAGGCGCGGCTCATCCCAAACGCATAGCACCAGAAAAAGAGGGAACCATGACACCCTTTTTCGGGGACTTATACCTGGGAGCCTGGTAGGGTAGTTTTGCGAATATCTCGCAGGTGTTCATGTTCTGCAGTGTCCATCCGGGGTTGGATATGGCCCACTTCTGTAAGGGTTGCGCATTTTTCACAGCCCAAGCCCAGCCACTAGACCAGTGGATTTCCACAACAAGGCGCTCCTTCGGTACCCCCAAAGAAGTTGAAAAACACCACTGGCTCATTCCCTTGAGTTCCTGTTCCTTTCTTTTCGGCTTTAGACCGTTTCAGCGGACACCGGACATGCTTTGAAGCCCCTCTCTTTGTTGGCTGATTTTGGAGGGGCCTCCCTTCCCAAGGCGCAAGTCAACTGAAACAAGGCCAGGTGTATCCCCGCCTGAGCCGCGCATCGGTTCCAGGAGAACCGGCGCCTGAGGGTGGAGAACGCCGAGCTCAAGAAGCGGCTCTACTTTGGGCCTTATGCGCGGCACCCCACCAGGGCCCGAAAGAAAGAGCCCGAAAACGGCCACCCTATGTTGTTGTTGGGAGACATGTTTCCCATGTCTGCTTATTTCTGGTTTAGTGGGAAATGCCCACTTGGCTGCTAAAATTTCAATTTTTGCTCCCCTTCCAACGTCAACGTCAACCAAGTATGGGTGTCCTTCGAAACCCGGGCCCCTTCTTACAACAGCTAATTTTACGGGAGGGTTTTCGAGATCCATCCGCCAAGTACCAAAGGTGCCCTTTGGTTTTAACGAGTGCTATTAAACTCAGGTTGATGGATGTATGGGCGTACACCATCAGCCTTTGAACTGAAGATGTACTTCAAAGATCAAGATATCCCGCTATGTTTGGGGCAGGAATGATTAGCAGCCTGCAACTCCATTCATGGAAGTCAGCCCGCTTTCCCCCGCGATGCGGCCTCGCACCATGCATATGCATGCTTTCAAGCAAGGTTGCCCCGCGCCTCAAGATGATCACCACCGGGCAATCGAATGGGAGTAACTTAGAGCTAACCAGGAATCCTGGGCGCTGACAGGAGGGTTTTGGACACTGCTTTCATTTTGGGGGGGCCACCTGCCCACACCATGATTGTTGGAACGAGGGTTTTGAGGCCTTACCAACACCTCGCCAGGGACATCCTTGACTGAGCAGGGCGTAGTGCGGGTTGGAGTTGGCATTGCCTGACTTCTTCTCACCCCTTGAAACGAATGTGACATAATGCATTGTCCCCCAGTAGTGCCCTTTTACCCTTTTTTGGGGGCAAATGAGACTACCGAAAAAAACAAAAACATCTCTACTGGAAGACCTAGCAATGGGACCCTTTGAACCTCCGAGCCGCAAACCCAAACCGATTTCCCGGCCAAGGCGCAGGGCGCCTCTGCCAGCTCTGTGCCCATCTGGGCGCCTGGGCGAAAAATGAGCCACCTCAAACGCAAAAAAGAAGTGGCTGGTGGACACTTTCTGAAAAAAGCAAGCCAAAATGGCATGGGTCAACATGGGTCATGTTGAATTTCTGCATTGCTCCGGAACCCCTCTTTACCACCCAGAAGTAGATGAGCGTGAGCGCGGTGGAGCACCGGAAGATGCCACGCTCAAGGGCTTTGCCTCAGGGCGTGCCCCTGACCCGAGTTGCTTGTGAATTTTGTGCTCTAGGACCTTCGGTAAGCCATGCCTTCATGAGAGGTAAACAAGTCTTGCCAGTAGGTTGGTAGGTGGGGTGGGGAGGAAGTGCTCTTGGCGTCTTCATAGGCCAAGAGTCCATGCTTGCTGCTTTGCAGGTAATTGGTGAATCACCGGTCCAGCGCTAGTTCGCCATTTGGTGATGTTCTCAGGGCAATCTTGGGGCCTTGGAAACAGTTTTTGATAACTTGTATGTCCCTTGCTGGTTCCAATGGGGGTTCTCATGAGCGGTAGGATGTTATTCCAGTAGTTGCTCTTCATGCTCCCAGTTGGTTTCAAGACGCCGCCAAATATCCGGAAGAGCCGGGCTGCATTTCGAAATGAACGATCGTTGACAAAAATGGGAAGGGATTTTCGCTTTCATTTGCTTAAGGTGACTGTTGATTTACCCTGGATGCCACCTGAAACAAAAGGAAGCGGTACTGAGTGTTGAATGGTTTGCAACCAAGAGCCCAAAGGGGCTGCTTTCGAGCCACAAGGAAACCCCAAAAGAAACCCAAGAGGATACTACGAATTGGGAGGTTGGAAAATATGGTCTCCCAATGTGAGACCAACCGAATGTGTGCCATGGTCGAAAGACCTGCCAGCTTGCCCTTGGTATGGATGATCGTGGGCCCATTAGAGGTTTAGATTGCCATAAGTTGCAAGGATTCCCATGACAGGAGGCACGGCCGCCTGTCTTTCGTTTCTCAAACTGCCAAAGCTCGCGGCATTTCAGGTGCAAGTCCCCGTCATGACGGGCTGCGCCGCATCGCCCAGCAGGCGCCCGTTCCATGTTGGCAGATGGGTTGTTGCATCAGAACTTGGTGGTCCCCCTTGGTGATTGGTTGTTTGCAGATTGGTCGGCCCCCTTTGTTCTCAATTGGGCCTGGCTCTAATTTGTAGGTTGGCTGTCCCCAACTTGGGTTTAGTTAAGCAAGACATTGGGCTCCCAAATGTTCACCAAATGCCAAGTTTTGGGCCAACTTCCTCAAGACTGCTGCGCTTGCCGTATTCTCACGGGAACGGCCATGACCCCCTTAAAGAAGATCGGCGTGGGGATCCTTGGCAGGTAGTGCACGTGGTGCAAAGATTGGGTCATGTGTTCCAAATGGCCTGCACATTCTAGGGGTACCTTCCATTTCCATTTCCATTCTTTCCAGGGATCTTTTTTTTCAGGAAACCATCAAAACCGCGGCGAAACAGCCGATTTTTGAAAATAACGATGGCTGAAAAGAATGGGGAAATCAACCCCTAGACACATGTTTCGAATGTCGGGCTCCTGCCTCTCACGGACTCTTCCCAGCTTGATGGGTGCGAAACGGGCAGATGTTCAGCTGTCCCAAAAGAAAACCAACGCAGCCCTGCTTTGTTCAGTTGGTTTCTATGCCGCGAGCTGCCTGGCCACTGTCGTGGGGGGGTTGGGGCTGTGGGTTCCAAGCTTTGACATCCTTCACCCCAAAAAAAGGCAAGCTCACTGCCCCGCCCCAGTTATCTTCAAAAATAATCCAAAAAGGGAGGGAATGTAGGAACCGCTGGGCCATGGTGCTTGGTCTCCTAGAGGGCCTCCTTGTTGATGTCAACCGTGCAGCTGGCGGCTTGACTTTGCCACTTGTCATGGGACTGATTTTCCTTTCGTACTTATTGTACACATACCCCTTGAGTACATGATCCCCCCGCTCCAACGAGGAGCCAAGGAAGAGGTATGAACCAGCATGCCTTTCGATTCGTTTTACTTTTGGCACGCTTGACTCCCTCATTCCAGGGCATTTTCAGATATGGGATTTGAAGATACGAATGCTTATATACCCCCTGTATGAGCTTGTAGAGCAGGTTGTATGGTGGCATGTAACTTTCCGTGACACGTAGGGAGCACCCTGTAGCTTACAAGGCGCACACTGTTTGTCGCTGCTGCACTTGCCGCATTTAGGGAATCCCGCCGATCCATCAGACATTTGCCCTATTCCTTTTCCACGCCCCCTCCCCCCAAGCAAAAAGAAGAAGATCAACAGAATAGATAAGAACGAAGAACTCAAACAAACACTACTGCCCCAAAACAAGCACTTTGGTCTGTTGAGCTTTTTCCAAGCTCGGTGTGTGTTTAGTGTGTTTGTCCAAACTCAACCGTTTAAACTCCATCCTTAACTTGCTCGTTTAAGCAATTTCAAGGGCTTGGAATACGGAGGGGTCTGGGGACCGCGTGGAAAAGCCCGCAGCTTTCAATGGGGTTCCATGTGTGCCGCGGACGCCCACTCTGAATGGGAGTGAGCTGACCCGACATCAGAACTTGGCAAAGCCTTTTCCCTGCCTTGAACGATCCTGCCATTGGACCCCAAGGCAGTGGTTTGCTTCTAGAGGACACCATCGGAGAGAACCAGCGCTCTTGCTCCCCCGAGCTTCGCAGGAGCGCCATGTCTGTGGTCCTGCGCCCAGAGGATATCCAAGTTCCCCCCATACCCCCAACTTTTTTGGCCTCCGCTTATCGTATTTCCCGCATTTTTTTGCTTAAGCCTCAATCCTCAAAGTGGAGTGTGTGGCTTGCCTCTTCCTGGATTCCTGCCCATGGCACCCCATGGCGCGCCAGGGCGAACATTTGGATCTCCTTTTGTGTTCCTTTTGTGCCCAGCTATCTGGTGCCTTAGGCTTTTTGACAACAGCCCAATTTCTGGAAGCGGATGTACACTGCCAGGGAGGAGCAGACATGACTTTCTCGAGTGATACCCGGTAGAGGTCCCGGACTTGGGCTCCCCCGTGCATTGCAACAGTTGCAAAGCAGCTTGACGTGTTGGGAGGGGGGTTGTCCGGCGCGCCGGAAGGCCGGGACCAACGGACGCTGCCCTACCCCATTTGCCACCGGCACCCAACGAAAAACAGGGGGTAGATACCCTCTGTATTATATACATACATAGACAAACTGATATTCATATACCTGGATCTTCCGCGGGCACTTTTTTCTGGATTTTCCCGATTCGAGCAACAACACCGCTCGCTCAATTCGAAAGAACACGCTCAATTGGAAAGTGGTTCTGGTGCGTGTCCGCACATTTCCGCTCATTTCCCGCCGAGTTCGCTTTCCGGGAGACAACTTGCCAAATCATGCCAAATCAAGATTTCCGCTCATTTGTGTTTTTTCCGCTCAAAATCTGAAGCGAGCAAAAAGAATGCCCAGAGCCCCAAAAAGTGACCAAATGGAAGACCCAGGTATATATAATAGCTGATGGGGGCGGGGATATCCCACCATCAGACCACTTGGGGTGGTTTGGGGGCCGTGGCGTAAGCCGTATTTTCCTCAGGCAAAAGGGTGGAGGATTCGTTTGCACTAGCGGCCCGCGAGCGGGGTTTTCCTGAAAAAGACTTGTCCATCACATGGCATGTTTTTATTTGTTGTGTCGAGGACTTTCTTTCAAATAGCGACTCGAGAAGCGACTTTGTACACTTCCAGTTTCTGAAGTGTGTGTTTCCCCCTGTTGGTTTTAAAGGGACGCTTTCACTGGACATCTGTTTTTCTCTTTCCCAGGCGACTTAAAGCAAGTGCGGTACATGGAAAGCGTGTGCTGCCCAGGGCTGCGGCTCGGAGCAGGCGGGGACTGGAATTGGTCGGCAACCAGTCTGCATTGGGTTGGAGGTGAACCACCCCCTGATTTGGGAGCGAAACTCACTCCTTGACCCCATTCTGGGAAGACCATTTTGGTGTAAAACAAGAGGCTCGCACTTTCTTTGGCTTTCGCCCACCCACTCGGGAAGTGAGTAAAAGTGACAACCAAACCAGCATTTTATGGTGGTTGAACCACGCGATTGGATTTAAGGATGCGTGTTTGTGGCGCAGGCATTGGCTGCCAGCATTGTCAGGTAACCCAGCATGTCCTACCCTTTTTTTGGAGGCAAACCAAACCTCCAACCCTTTAGCTTGCTGGTTCGATAGGCCGGGAATGGGTTGGAAGGACCCCGGGGAAAAAAAACACAACAAAAACACGCATTCCTATGGCTTCCTTTAAAGGAAACTCCCAACGCTTCATTCCCGACACCTGGACTCGGTCATTCCCTTCCTCTCGCACCAGCACGTTAGCCCAAGCCAACATTGGTTGGGGATGTTGGCCCCGGAACCCACCCAACCTGCTAACAGGGCGTACCCCTTTGGTGATGAATCCCCACCAAGCCCGGAACACCAAAATTACTAATAAGCTGGGGCTGTATGAATCCGGGAATGCCCAAGTCCGGGCGTTGGGAATGAACCGTTTGAAACAAAAAAACCAATCGGAAATGGGCCACTCCATTGGGTGTTGTTGGGCTTGCGGGTTTTGGGAATGAAGGGTGTGGGCTTGTCTTGGCCTAGGCCCCCCCAGTAGCAATTACCCTTTTACTCTCTCTTTTCTTCTTGTTTTGGCGGGGGGGGGAGGTTCCCTCTTTTTTCTTTTTCTTTTTTTTTGGGGGGGGAAGGTTCCCCACAGAAAAAGGGGGCACCAACTTATTCCAAGCTCAACTAAGCGCTCAAATCTGGAGGACCGCTCCATTCCCTTGCCCACCACCCGGATCGAAGCCAGCGCTGCGCGCAGGGCTCCACGGCGGGTTCCAACTCCGCGGGCTCCGTGACGCCCATCCCGCCCGGCAGCTCCAGGGCAGGGCTTCTGGGGGGGGGGCTGAGGGGTGAGGGGGGGGGTTTGCGCATGGAGGCCGGGGCCGTGTTTGGGTCTTCAAATGCATGGAGAAGAAAAAAAACCCAAAGTGAGTTGACTGGAAAAAATGGACTGCCACTTTTGGCCCAAACAGATGTGGCCAAGCAGAAATTCTGGTAACGGCCTTAGATTGTACAGATTCTTGAAACAAGGCGAGAACAACATGAATCCCACCAGAGGTCCCTGTAGAGAAGAATTGTCTGAAAGGAAGCCGGTTCCACAATACGCGGTGCCAAATATGTTTTAATAGTTTACTCAGATCAGCATGATGAGCTTCACCTGCCGTAGTCTATCTTGCTTTTTAAGGCCTTTTGTAAGCTGGGACTCGATCATTTCGCGCATCAAAGTTGGTTGCCCCCCCCCCCCATCCCCCCAAGCAAAGTGCAGGGATTTGAGGTTGTCCCATTTGAGAGGCCCTTAATCCCTGATATATATTTTTTGCCGGGCTTGTGCGCGCGAGGACCGCATGAAGGGTTCAACCCATTTGAATATCAGGGTTAAGTCTTTGCACACCTACCCGGATGAACGATTTGCCGGGTCGTTTGTTTAGATTCAGGTTGACCAGGGTGGGAAGGTTGGATGGCACAATTCCCTGTATGTAGGTAAGTAAAGGGGATGACTAGAAACCAACATGGGCCAATTGGGCAATTTGCTTTCGCCCAACTGCACCGCCTTTGAATGAAACGGGGGAATTCGTCCGGGCAAGGCCTTTATTTTCGTGCTGTCACTCCTGCACCCCTTAGTTGGCAGCTTGCATCGGCATGGGAGTTTGACCCGCCATTCCTTTGCAAGCCAAACAGGAACCTTGAAACCACAAATCCGATGTGGCTCTTTTGGTATCCCCCAAAAGAATGTGGTTTTCCTTTTGGTCCCTTAAAAACCCAAAAAATTGTACCCTCAAAAAACAGTTGAAAGGGACACCTGGAAGAGAAGGGAAAAGGGACATCACTGGCGATGGCGAGGGGGTCCAACGCTGGTGGTGGACCTGGCAAGAGATGATCAAGACTCACTCGATTCAATGAACTCCGATAAGCATTCACTGCGGGTGGGACGCGCAGACAGAAAAGTGATTGCAGTCCGCAGCTTAAGCTGGTTGCCGATTTTCTGGTTGCAGCTGACTGAGGCAGCGATTCTGGGTGCCACTTCCCAGCCACGCCGGGAACCAAAGCATGCACGGAACCCTTCCCAAAGGAACCTCCTGTTGGGATAACCCACTCAGGGATTCCATGGTAACTTGGTGTGGGAAGTGAACACTTGCGTGTTTTCAACATTGCTTTTGGGTGGCTGTCCTTTGAACCAATTAAAATGGAGTAATTAGAGGCTATGGTTGAGGATGTCACTGTACTGGACCCAGAAAGAGGTGTGACAACAGCCGGTGGTACCCTCCCATGCCATGGGACCATAGGACCCCTCAAGTCAGATTTTATGTTAGGTGGAGGGATCTATTTTCGCACTGGTGGGTGGGAAGTAAGCTTTTATGATTTTTTGTTCGTGTTTTCATTAACAACATATGTGTTTTTTGTCTGCTTATTTATGTGCTTATTTATGCATGTATCTATTCAGGGAACCGGCAGAAGGGGTAGGAGTAATGAGCAAGACACCCCCCCAGAGGCCACGTTACCCTGCGACGTCGCGTTCCTTTGACGCCGCATTGCCCTCAGCCGCATTGTGTCCTGACGCCGCAGTACCCCGTAGCGCCACATTCCAATGTCAGAGCAGGCCTGGATGATCCTGCCGGTCATATTCTCGCCAGCACAGCACCAGCCTCGCGAGCATTCCCGACCTTTCTTGCGTGGTCCCCATTCGCAATCGGAACCTCACGCGAACAAATCCAATGTCAGGTTTCGTTTCAACGCATTTTGCCAAAGACTTGTGGCCCAGTGCCTCAGCATTACCGGCGTCGCCGGCCTCCCTGGCCTCCCCCTTTCGGCGTCCCCCGAAAGCAGAAGCGAAACCTGCCGCAGCAAACTCCTACGTCAGGTTTCGTTCTGGCGCATCTTGGGCCCAGTGTCCACTCCTGACCCTCCAGTCCGTCGCGCGCGGAAACGAAGCCTGACGCCTCGGGCTTCGTTTCAGCGTCGTGGGCCAAAAATCCCACAGACTCAGCAGCCTCAGCGGCTTCGGTCATCCCGATGGCCGACCTCGGAATGTGTCCTCGGCGTTTGGCGCAAAAGTCCTACCCCCCCATCTCCCCCCCGCCCCACATGCACAATGCATTTGTTGTTTTATATATTTGTTTATTTGGGGATTCCATGTGACATGTGAGTGATTGTGGTGTTAATTTTGGCATTGCGTTGGTGGGTATATGGTGGGTAATTGCAAGATTTTGTGCAAAGCATGGTGACCTTGCAAGGGGGAGGCTCTTCGCTGAACCCTAAGAAACCCAAAGCTTCTTTCAAGACAAGGAACCTCGTTGAATCTGGGATAGGGGCCTAAGGGGACGTGCCACCTTTCCCTGTGGAAGGTTGAGTTGGGGTCCTCCAGGATTTTCTGAGAGCCAGGGGGTTGCAACGAGGGCCGTTGCCCTTGTGAAAGGTTTGAACACCTGTTTTGTCAACTCTTCTGGGATCTCTTTTAAGTCACTTGTTCACATTGAACACGGGCCAGGACCAAACTGTGTTAAACATATTTGTTGGCTGAGGTTCAGCCGGATGTCAAATGACATTATTGTACAATTAAGGTTTTGCTACATGTGATGCCGAGGTGCAACTTGTTGCGTGGAAGAATTGTCCGCTCGGCTGTGCTCGGCCAAAAGGGGCGGCTGTACGTTGAGGAGTTAGGTAGAGCTGTGTCAAGCATTTTGTTTCCTCCCGCGTGATTTGGCTATGAACTTCAATAGGGAAGTGGACAACCCCTAAATCATGTCCACAGGATCCCTAATTGGCTGCACCCACATGGTTGGTATGTTGCCTGCGGGCACCGCAACAAGTGTCCCCAAAACGGAGAACTTCCTAATTCCAGGAGACGCATCCATTCCTAGGGCCGCAGTCTGGGAGGTCCTGCAAGTCTTGGTGCAGTTTCCGATTCTACCTGAGGAATTGGGCGAAGAGGGTGCTGAGCAATGCTGACCCCATATTCATCAACCCTTTTTATTCATAGGGGGGTGTTCCCCTCCAAAACTGATGACCCCCCCCCACCAATAATTGTAGCAGGGTTTGAGTAATGTCAACATTAACTTGTCGCCTTTCGGCTTCCCTGCGGTTTTCCTTCAAACTCGCACACGGTCAAGTTGGGGGTCTAGGCCTGGCCCAGGAATCCTTGGGATCTCTTTCAGCTTTCGGAACTGTATGCAGATAGCGAGCAACAATCAATTAGCAGAAGACTTCCACCCCCCCCCTTGTGGCCCATCCATTTAGAATTCTGCAAGTGAGTTCACCTGTGAAGATTGCTCGTTTTTAGTTCCCTTCCCCAAATTTCGAACGAATGTAATGTATAAGCTTGTAGGGGTGGACCCTTTCATTTGTTTGAGACTATGTGGTGTGTATTTTTCTTGTTGGTTTTGAGAGGAATCTATCACTGGACATATGTGCTTTTTCGGATGACTTCCGCCAATGGACAAGTAGAACCCCTGCATCAAGCAGAATCCCGGGAATGACACCAGGACGACCAGCCAGATGGCAATAATTGGCACACATCATACTAGAACCCCTGGTTGATTAATACTGTGGATGGACGAAATCCTGCACCACCTAAGAAACCTAGAATGACGATTCCCCTGTAAATACCAACAAACAATGGTTTCCCATTTTTTCCAAGTGGTGCAGGATTTCGTCCATCCACAGTAGGGGGCTAAGATTTACTCGGAGCATTCCGCGCCCATACATGCGAAGGTCATGAGCCCGACCGGGCAGCCGTGGCGGGCGGCTTACGAAGCGGGCGATCGAAAGAACAGCCACCAGCGATTCCACGCCTATGCACTTGTACAAAAACTTGTAGCCATGGGAACCACCTTTTAGAAAGTTTGAAAAGAGGGTTGGTGTTTTTTTTTTCCTGCTCTGGTGGTAACTGGGATCTCGTTAAGGACCTCCTCCCAAATCAAATGAACATTGAGGTACCTCACTGAAGGTACTGGGCTATCCGGCCAAAAGGGCTTCCCTTTGTGGGGAAAGGACCAACAAACCTGGTCAAAGATCCAGGAATTGCCGTTTGGGGGAGCTGTGCTGAATGTTTTCCTTTCAAAAGGACCTATGTAGTGTTGTTTTTTTTCCAGACCGCCCAGTGGCAACAACAGAAGTCACTGTTTCTTTTGTAGTTGGTTTGGATTGGTGGTTTGGTGTTTAGGCGGTACCCCCCCCCCCCGTCGAAAGTAAAGGGGGGCTTAACCTTTTGCCCGCACCGGTCCCCTGGAATAAGTGAGGCGGGTATCAAAGCCTTTGCCTTTGTTGGGAATGAACTGGAAGGGGTCATTCCCTCATTCACTGCTGAGAACCAGCAAGTTGCAAGAGTTAGAGTTCCGGTTGTCCACGTCCGGCAGCTTGTCGGCTACAGGCCATTGGAAGTTGGATGTTTTGACTGCCTGGCGAATGTTTGTTTCAACATGGAGCTTTATGAGTCTAGGTGGTCAGCGGGCTTGAGAGAGAAACCCCTGCTACATAGCCAAAAGCCATCATGTTGCACAGTATGGCTTGTAGCTGGGAGTTTCCAACTTCGGGGGTATCGAAGCACTACCCCAAGGCCGAAAAGAGGTAAGCATACAATGTTGACCCCATATTAACCAACCCCATGGCAGGATGTCTGTGGGTTTAGTGGGGAATTTGGAGGTAAGTAAAACCCTCCAGACTGAGGCCGGCCAACGTGGGCCAGCTGGTGGCGGTCCAGCGTGGCTCTCGAATCGGTGGGTGTTGGTCCGGTTTTTGGGTGGTTAAAAAAGAAGCCTGCACCCTGAAACGACCCATGAGAAAGGACATGTACTCCATAATTTTGGGCCAATAGCCTATTTCAAGGCTAGTTTGAGGGTCCAGGAGCATCGTTTCTGGTGAACTCACTTGCGGGGGAACAAGATCGCCATGACGTAGGTCCTATGGTAGCATTTTGCAAATGCAGAACACCCTGGTGATTAGTAGGAGGAGAGCTCGACACTGCAAGCGTGCCCCTTTTTCACATGTTGAATGGACATTCCAGTTGAACTCTGCTTGAATAGACTGTGCTTAAATGTTATTTGATGTGTATAGAAGCTCCACTGGAAACAACTTCCCTTGTGCATTCTAATTTAAATTAGAACATTTCTGAGTTAAATTCTACTCTAGAATGGAGATTAGGATTGGATTATTTTCTTATCAAATTTGGTTTAAATTAAGCTCCAATTGAACTGTAAAGTTCGATTGGGAAAGGGATTCTTCCTATATTCTAAATTTGAGATCAAATGTGGGTAGGAGCATCTAAATTATACATTTAAGATCTGTCTTTCAGCAGGAATCGGAACAAGCTTTTCATTGTCGAGTCCGGCTTAGATTCTATTCAACAATGATAGTGTTGGGGCTAGTTGAAAACACGATTTTGGGATCTGAATGCTTTCCTATGAACTCCACTTAATATCTTTATCAATGTCTACCCAAGTCCTCACTGAAATTAAATCGAATGTCAAAAAGGAAATGATCCAAACACAATTTCTATTTTAAGCTAGGCTTGAAATACGTAGCAAATTAAAAGTTGCAGAGTTGCACAGGGTTTCCTTTCCAACGGATTTGTCCTAAGCCCGATTTCAAGTCCCTGACTTCAGGGATCAATCGCTGCAAGTTTGTGGCCACGGGAATTGACCCGATCAAGCTTTATCATTTCCAGAGGCTGTGAACAATCGTGTTCCCTTCAAAACTGGGTGGCTTTCAAGCAGCAAATGAGCAGAGAATGCCTATGCATACGCAAACAATCAAGCCAGTGATCGAGGCGGTTTTTTGTCGGAAACGGCCGGCCAGTCAACATTCGTCACTCTCAAAACAAGCGTTTCCCCACCCTAGCAAGAAGCGAGCAACGCTTGCAGGGGATCCATTTGTTCTTGGGATGGAAGTTTGACTCCCCACATCTTCGTTTGCCCGGAACGCCCGGAAAAAGATACCCGGGTGTTTTATTCAAAACGCCAGGCCCGACAGAAGGACAATTCTGGCCCAAGGCAATGTAAAGCCGAGCAAATTCGTCGGACGTGGGTGAGAAATTCGGCCTTGGCACTGCAGAAGGCGATGACTGGTGGCTGCAGCCACGTGTCCGCGCTGGAACAGCGTAAAGCTACGAGTGGTTGCCATCGACCTAATAGGACATGCAATGGAGGATGTCCTGCTGATTGCTGTTTTCATGGACGAGCACCCAAACATCGATCTTGCCAAGCGGCAGCAGTCTTTCACAATTCCGAGCGACCGTTGAAGCGGCTGCGATATGCTGTGGCCAATGTCAAGACAGGTTGTGCCCTCTTCCTTTGGATACTAGGGGCTGGTTGGCATGAGCAAGTTGTGCTTTTCTAGAATAGGCTCCAAGTATGAAAAGGCTGGGGCCTCCAGACCGAGACTACTTTTATATGTTTTTTGGGGTTGCCCAGAAATATTTTAGGTATGACAGTGTTTATTCGATTGTTGACCAGATTTGGCATTTTGATTGACGCAGAGGGTGCCCTCCACCGCACGGCCAATTTGACGAGGATTCCACAGAGCGCCTGCGGGAGCCAGCTCGGCTCTCGATGCAAGCTGTGGATTTGTCAAGCCAATCCACCTGTGGCCCGTCCAAATTCCCTCCTTTTGGTTTCCCGTTCAAACCATCCGAAATGGATACCCTCCAAAAATGACACACCCAGACCAGACATGTCATAGATGTTTCCTTTTAAAAGAGCAGAGTATTTGTTTCTCCATTTGTTTGTCGTTGTGGTCATAGCAAAAGCTTGGCCTGTTCATGTGGCAAGTGACGCAGTGAGAAGCCCGCGGAAAGTTGGGCTTTAGCCAATCCCTATGACACCTACCCCTGTTTGGTGGTTTCAGATACCTGTTTGACCCATTTTTAGGTAAACGTCCCTTGGCAGTGATGGACATGTAGCGAGGGGCGTTCCTTAGGTAAACTCCCCTTGCCCGCCCAGACCATTGACGCCATGTTTTCCTGTTGCGCAGGGCGTTCCTTCAAACTTAACTACCAACCAAGGTGCCCCCTTCTTCCCATTGGAGGTTTGGCTCTTGTTATAAAACAGGGGAGGGGAGTTGAAATAGAGGAAGGTTGGTTGGAACAATGCGGGGCGCAGTGCTTGGGTTACTGACCTTGTTGAAACCCCAGCCTTTTGAACTATGTGTTGTCGACGAGCGGCGACCAAAGCGCAAAGTTAATCTTTGACCAGCTGAAGATAGCGGGATTCCTGCACTCCCTTTGCCTATCTTATGGCGGCCGCGGGAATCAACTGGGCCTTTTGGGGGAGCCAATTCTTACTTCAGGCTTTGGAATTGTACACTTGCACCGTCTGTGTGCTACTGCTAAGCAATCTTGAACTTGCCCAGAAAGAAACCAAAGGGCATGCGTGTTGATTCATTGCTTCCCGGGCTGCTATTTGGCACCCGGATGGTGAAAACGGGTCATTCCATCTTCCCTGACCAAGTAGCCGCAACTTGTGCAGACTTCTCATAACAGAAAGGGATCCAAGTCAGGGACCTTCATTCCACAATGAAAGTGGATGGCACAACCCCCTTTCCAGCGTCAAGGGGTGATCAAACCAACATGAAAGGGGACTGTGCCACTTTGATCCAGCCGTACTGGAGTTCACCAACCAGAGCTAGGATCCAGGTGGTTTTCCAGGGGTCCGGTTCATTCCAGCGCCTCCAGCTTCCAACCTTGAGGTCCACATTTTCCGAGGCCTTGGGGGAGAGGGGGGGGTGAGGGGCAGCAGCTTCTCGCGGTTGGATTCCTGGGAGGGTAAGCACTCAGCTCTTTGAGCCTCATCTTTTGACTGCCGTGTTGTTTGGGATGGATCGCACGTGGGCGGGGGTTGTGGTATCTCTCTCTCTCTATATATTTAGGTGTTTTATTTATTTGTTTAAGTCTTCATTTTTTCATTTATTAATTTGTTTTTTGCCACAACACAACGAGCAAGCGCAAGGTTCCATGCACCAGCTAGTTGACATGTTGCCTTTTGGTTCCCGTTATTGTCCGTTTTGTTTTTTTTCTCTTTTTTGTGTGGGGAAGATTTGAAAACTGGGTGATTGGGGGGACGCCCCACTGTAAGATCTACCGGGCCGTTGATTGCCGGGCAGGCAAGACCTTTTAGCACACAGAACAAATCACGGCTGAGTCCTTGTGCAGGACTGTTTCTTATGTCAGGGTTCTAGGGGTACCTTCCCCATTCTTTTCGGGGATCCTTCTTTAAAGGAAACCATGAAAAAGGCAAGGGAAGCAGCCGGTTCTTGAAAAGAACGCTGGTCAAAAAGAATGGGGAATCAACCCCTAGAAGGGTCCCTTAGGCTTACTATCATGGCAACTGGAAGCGCTGGGAGGGTTGACCTTCACCCCTTCCCCCCCCTCAAAAAAAAGAACAAGTAGCAGTGGGCACTTGGAGCGGCTCACTATTCGTTTGGCCTCGAACTGGAGAGTGAAAATCTCAAGGATGTTTTTGTCTGGCTCTGAATCTTGCAGTTGCTTAAGATGTTTGTGTGTTCCCCGTTGCGTTTAAAGGGAATCTTTCACTACTGGACGTTTTTTCTTCCCGGAAACTTTGGCGAATGAAAGGACATGTTATTTTTTTCTCACACAACCAACTAAAAAGCCTGGCTTGCCCAGGAAGAATGTAACGAGCTTTCGGGGGTAAAAAACGAGCAATTCCAAGATCCTCGGTGGTTTTTTTCTTCAAGCTCACTATTTCATTTATTTTTGCCCAGACATTCACAGAACCGAGCAGAAACTCATTGCATAGAACCAAAATTCAAGGACGTTCGCTGGCTTCTGGCTTGGGAGGCCCGGTTGGTTGTTGAGAAGCGAGCGCCGGGGGTGTCTCAGTGGCGCCAGGAGTTCCAGCCTCGCAACACCTTGTCGGATACCTCCGCCTCACAGGCCGGCGGCCGGGCATCACCCGTGCGACTTGAGGGCTCCATCGACTGCGGGGTGAAGCGAACCACCCGTTGGCGGCTTGCCCCGTCCCAGTGGGGCACCCTCAACGGTGAGTCCAAAGAAAACGTGCTCAGAGGCCCCAACCACCCTCAAGCCTCCCATCGACCTTGTGTTTTTTGTGCAAGCTGGTGGATTTCGGACATGCTCGCATTCAAGTTGCGACTGGCTGATGGGTTCAAGTGCCAACCTCACATGGGTTCAGGCACTGGGGCCACCACTTGAACCTTGGAGCCGGTTGCGTAAGCTGGCTTGGCTTGGCTTCAGTCCAGCTGTGGTAGCATACTTTTATGGTTTGTCAGGGGTGAAAGGGTTGAACGTGGTTTCAATTACCACGGGCAGAAAGAAAAAAAGAAACAACACGGCACGTCTTGCACCAGCCGGCGGCTATTCCGCCTCAGTGGAGAATGTCGTCAGGCGATTCCAAAAATCGGATCGGCCTGACAAGCAATGCCGACCGGCCGACAACTTGTGGGGTCGACAACTCAACATGTTGCCAAGAAATGCGGCAGAGTATGTCGTGACAGAAACCGTTGTCGATCGAAACATACGTTTTGGCATAATTTAATATGAGAGTTGGCTGTGGACATTGGAGCTAAGCACCAAGGGTTGTTGGAAGTTGTTTGTTGTGGCGACACTTGTGTTGACACGTTGCACAAAGTTGTCAAATCACTCATGAGTGTCATCAATTCGGCTATGTGGTCCTGTTCTTGTTTTCGATTGGTGCCAAACCTCGCACGGAGACCCATTGCGTTGCCAGGTCTCTTCCGCTGCATCCCCTGACTGCCAGTCTCAGAGTCGCAGCCTGAGTTGCATCTGTGGAACACTTAGTGGCTCCCAGCCATCCCCTTAGCCTTTTAGCTTTTTAGTGTTCAGTGGCAGTAACCCACGAAAAGTTGGTCACTTTTAGCGGGGGATCTGAGGGCAGCCCAGAACAGTGTGTTAAAATTCACCTTGTTCGCCTTCAGGCGGGCGACTCTGCCTGGCACACGAATCGTGGATGAACACTTGGAACCGCGAAAAACTGTAAACCGGCCATCCAAATTGCGGTGACTCTTAGTGGTTGGAGGCCAGGGTCCAACAGATCTGCCGACTTTCTGCGTTTCGAGCGACCCGTGATGAAGGTCCTTCACTTGGCTTCGATCCAACTCTTATTTCAGGGTTTGTGGGCGTCCATTTGTTGGCAAGAGTGCGCCTGGGCTGGTATTCACAATGCTCTGCACAATGCCACTTTCGGCATGAAGGGAGAATTTCGTCGTGCCATCCCTTCCCCGACGATTCCAATTGCTCCACAGCCTAGGCTCTTCTCAACCTGACGTCTGCAAGACCCGGACGTCCCCCAAACCTGTGCAGGGCTTGCCATGGCGTCAATGGTAGGTTTCTCAGTCTGTTTGAGTCTCTGTGTGTGTGTGACTTAAATGTGTGTATGTGTGTCTTTGTCTGCGTCTGTGTGTCTGCGTGTCTGTGTCTTTGTGTCTCTCTGTCTCTGTGTCTCTCTGTGTGTCTGTCTCTGTCTTCTGTGTCTGAAGCTGCGGCTGCGTCTCTGTGTCTCTGTGTCTCTGTGTCTCTGTGTCTCTGTGTCTCTGTGTCTGTGTTTCTTTGTGCTTGCGTCTCTGTGTGTGTCTGGTTCTGTCTTCTGTCTGTCTCTGTCGGTGTTTCTTTCCTTTTGCTGCTCGCCAGAGGTGTTGTGGATTTGGCCTCTTTGCCCTGCCCGAGGCTTCGGGGTGCCGTTGCAGGGCACCGATGATCGGCAGGGGGGCCCAAGCTCCGAGCCGGGGCGGGGTTCAGCACCTTGGGCAGAGCCCAAAACCCCAATGTGCGGTTTTAGTTGGTGGTTCTACTTGAGGTAGGGCTTGTATAATCATGTATGACCGTTTTGGCGGAGCTAACAGTGAAGGGGTTTCGGGCGGTTGCATGACTCAGCAACAACAGCAACTGCTTAAGTTGTTTACCCTGAGCATGCTCTTCGGCGCAGCCATCGTTGCTGCCTAATGTGTTTTCCTTTCTGGTCCAGTTCAGGTCGCAAAAGGCCAAGCTTTTGTTTCCAAGCTTGTGTATTTGCTGAGGGCGCGAGGCAGTTCATTTCTATCTGGCACCTAGGAACATTGAAGCACCCAATTTCAATGACTGGCTGATTGGCACCTGAATGTGTTTCGTGGATTGCTTCCCTTAGTTCAGTGGCGACCAAGAAAACAACTAAAAAACGCCCGGGGATCGAACCAGTAGGCAAAACGGCCAAAGGCGAACCACTCGCGCTAGGTGGGTGTGCATACCTTCTGGCATCGTCGAGCGGCACAAGGTGGGGGGGCTCTGTGCATGACACGGGCGATGGCCACGGCAACAACGGGCAATGCAGAACAGACAGTCACCAGGGTCTGTGTGAATTGCATCGCCCAAACTCTGGAAAGCAACCTTGGCACCCTTTGTTTCATGTTTGGTGACAATTTGTTTACCTTGCAACTCTTCTTCTCCTTGGAAAAGGGTTTCCGCACGGGACAGGTTCCGCAGGAGACAACAGTTTGAAGGCCTTGGGCGCTGCGGCCCCTGAATTCTTTTGTCGGGAGGCTGGTGTGGTTGTGGACCAAGTATGTCCTGAATTGGCTTTACAGCTGCGGACGCAAGTGAGCCATGCTGCGAGATGCGCCAAGGGCAACGAATTGTTGAGCAAGCGTCGAGATGCAACAGCCAGATATTGAAACCAAGCGCGACTTGCAAATGCTTTTGAAGAGCACGAAAGCCGCCACATTTCCAAGACGCGGCAGAGCAGGATTATCTTGACACCATTAAACTCCTGGGTTCCTTTAGCTGTGAGGGAGTCGGAGTTGCGGCCATTGCGCGCCAACAAAAGTTGTGCCTGCTCTTGTCCAAGGAGACCGATGCTGGCGTGGTTGCTTTCAAGAAGGTTGGGACTATGGCAGACACTGCGTACACAGCCATCATGCTTCGCGCCCCGCAGACTGCAGACGGGGCGCCAGCTGTTTTTTAACACCAGGAAGTCTTAAAAGCAAGCTCAAGATGATGCCAGAAACCAAGCAGGTAACTTGCCCAGGCCTTGACTGGCAAGAGCTATGTTCACACAAGAATGATTTCTGACTGGCTAATTAATAAGTTCAGAGGCTATGAAAACAAGCTTGTTTGACTTGTACTAACTCGTTCAGCTGAGGAGGCGACAGCAATTGAAAGCTTGGCTGCTCCTGCCAAGATAGCGTAGTAAACGCAATGTGCACTGAAGTAAGGTTCGTGGGTGTGCATGCGTGTATCTGTGTGTGTGCGTCTGCACGCAGTAAAGCGACTACCTTCCACTGGGACATATGCTCGTGCTGTTGTGGTCGGGACTCGGGCGCGCCCAGCGATCTTGAAACGACTCAGAATCCAACTGCAGACTTCACGAGACTGCGGCGGCCATGTGCAACTGGAGCAGGCATTGTTGAACGCTGACAAGTCCGGTGAAGATGCTGGCGGTGCCTGACTGCCCTTCCAGCTTCGTTGTTTGAGATCAGTACAGCCACGTGGGACACACTGCACGACTGCGAACTCACTGGAGCAGCATTCCGGCAGCAAGGTAAGTGCAGCCGACGCAGTCTCCACTGCTTGCGCCCTCTGGCGTACTGCGGTCTTCCGCTTTGGCGTGCCCATGAAAGCACCAGGGCCACCCTGGCGCTGCAGCACCAGGGGCAAAGGTTCCTCAACTATTCCTGTGACAGTTACAACGCTGTCTTTGCAGGAGACGGCCCTCCCCTGCGAATATAAGCTGGCGAAGCACAAAGGGATTCACCAAAGCTCCTCTTCAAGCGTGTGTTGTTTGGTGGTTTGTAGGTCAGTTGGGAAACAGCACTTGCACCTTAACTTATTTGTTGAGTTGACAAATCGACCCAACTCGCGTTTGCAGGTTTCTTGATTTATGCCTATTGGTCCAACAAGTCCCGCCAGATGGATATTGCCGGCTGCATGTGAGAATGGCAGGTCTACCAAAGGCGGTCCATGTGCCATACAAATTAGTTGCGATGTTTCCGGCTTGCTCACCTGGGGGGGGACTAGCTCACCATGATGTAGGTGCTTCACTTGGGGATCTCGGATCGTTTCTGCCCACAAGTGAGTCCTGGCTCTTCAAACCGCCCAGGCGCAGTTTGAAACCCACGCGGAGGCCCATGAGGCTGGGGAGCCACCGGCTACCGGCCCCCGTCCCAATTTGTTCGGGGGTTCCTTGTGTGGGTCTCGGGGCCCTGGCAATGGGATGTAAGACTGAGCCAAAAAAGCGACCCCACTTTGAGGCAGAACTGTTGAACCGGCAGACTGACACAGCCTTTGGTTGGCAGGTGGCTTATCATGCCTTTTGACTACCAAAAGCTGTTGTATTTGTTTGAAAGGGAGTCCTGGTGTGGCCCATCAAATGCAGATCCCCTCCAATTGATTCAGCAAGAAAGTGCAAGGAGGGAAGGGCAACTCTGTAACTTACCACTGGCCAGGGTCAGGTTGGACTATTCAGTGACTTCCACTAAACCCTCTGAAACTGAAGCAGGAACTCTCATCCACGCCAGCAGTCAGCAGTTGTGCTCATGCAATCTGTGTGCCTGGGTTTCTCTCCCGTAGCTTTCCGAGAGGGTTTCTGCCCCAGACACGTGTATTGCCAGTGTATTGCCTGCCAAAAGCTCAGTGGTCCGTTTTTGAAAGTGCGGCCTTTGGGCAGCCTCCTTGGCTCTTTTGGATGAACCAACGGGGGTTCCCCTTTATCAAGCACCAAGAGCAGTTCAACCAAAATTCCCTGGAATCATCAGTCGCGCCAAGTAGGCTTGGGGCGTCCCTTGGGCGTTTGGATGTGTCCAAGCCGGGTCCCAAAAGTGAAGCCTCCGGGGTTTCTTTAAAATTCACGCTTGGGGCCGGCATCCTTCACCAACTGCTGTTTGGGTAATTCTGGTTCTGAAAGAGCTGACATGAGCTTCCTGGGCTGGCCCCCACTGCAAGCGATTGCCGAGCAATGCCCCTACGGACCCCTAGTGCCAGACAGGGGCCAAATGCCAAACGCGACCGCAGGGTGCAGACGCGATGCCTTCTCAGGCGCGCGAGTAGCCAAGGATGTGTCTGTGTTTCCTGCCGGTGATGTTTCAGGCCATATAAACTTACCTGACAGAGTGGTTCAGGAGTAGCGGGGACAATACTAGATTCGGCTCACTTGCCACCTGACCTTTGGACCTTTGCATTTTCCAGATCGGCCCATTTTCAAAATTCCAGCTTTGATTTTTTCTGCAGGTCTGGGCGGGAGGGTGCTCGTAACTTGCCTGGGTCACCTTGGGGTCAATTCCCCTATAGGAGTTTCCCTTGCTTCCCTCCCTAGTTTCTGGGTTGCGGAATATAGCACCAGCCTCAATTGCCATAAGGCCATAACCTACAAGCAACTCGTGAAGGCTCCACCCCAATGGGGTCGGTGTTTGTCGCCGCTCTCGCGTGGCTCTCAGGAGGCCAGGACCTGAGGCCGCGCGGCTTGGACGGCCGCGCATGCCGCGCAAAGATTTGCACGGCCAGGGGAAAAAGTAACGACCGACGGGGCAGGCACAATCGAAATATTTGAGTTGGATCCAGCTTGCTTAAGCAGTTTTTGTTGGGTCCTTCCCTTTCCAGGTGACTTAAACATCATCTTGGGCGAGGGTGGTGGAGTCTTCGTTTGGTAGGGTGATGTTGGAAGCGCGCGACTCGCAATGAACAAAGGCTGTCGATCTAAGCTGGCCTCCGCTCCCCAAGCCGCCCCCTTCCCCTGCAGGGAAAATGGGGCATCTAACCACGACAGACGGTTTAGCAGTTGAAAGATAAGCCCTATTTTTCCTTAGTTGGTTTGGCAGCTACTCAAGCAGAACTCGAACGACCACAACCTTGGACCCTGAACCAATGGGAAACCAAAAGGACATTGGCAGTGACAAGCTGAGTCGCTAACAACTTGACTAACTCTCTTACGACAACTGGAATGCGTCAAGCTGGCAGGTCCTTCGGAAAGAGGCCCAATGTGAGTCAGCTTCCATATCGGTCGGTGGCGGTTGCCCTTTCGAGCTCCTGTTTTGGTCGCGGTTGGAGCGACAGCTAAGGGCCAAGGGTCTGTAGCCGTCTTCGGTTCAAAGTAGATCCATCAAGTCGACTTTTGCGGATTTCGAGCTTGACATCCTGCAAGTCATTGTGCATTATATAATTAGTTTGGCGGAGCTAGATTTTGATGGACCCCATTTGGGGCGGCCCAAAGCTCAAAAGCAACCGACATTTTAGGGGTGCCCTACTGTAGACAACTACTGGTTGCGCTTTCAAGGCTAGCTGTATCTAGTGCAATGTTTGGCCGAAGTGAACCTGCTGCTGTTAGACAAAGCCTGCCCCCGACAATTACTGAGATAAACCACCTCGACCCACTTTTCGGTGCGGAATTGTGTCCATCAACAGAGTGCTGGGGGGCTTGACGTTGTCTCACTTGCCCACACCCAGCCTTGTGGACCTTCCGGCAGACATTTCAGGTCAAGGCCCAACAAGGTTTCCTTGTTGCAGGTCCCCAAACAAGTTTAGCCCCTCAAAACTAACACCTGTTTGGGTTCGATTTGTAAACTTGCAGCGGGGGCTTGCATTTCTGGGTCCTCTGGTCCACGTGAAGCGGAAGTTGGTAGCTGGCAAGCGCGGGCCCATCCTGCTGTTCCCAGAACCTCACCCCAAAGAGCTAAAAAAGGCCAGAAAGCCACAATTCACGCGAGAAGTCATAGAGTCATAGAGTCACTTGTGCAGTTTGTACCTTAGGAGCCCATTGCGCTGTCGGTTTGGAATTCACAGGTTTTATGAGACATTTGTTCAGCTCAGTGAGTCAGAAGCTCGAAACAGGCGCTGCGCCAATGGATTTGGCAGCGCCTAAGACGTAAGAGAAATGCGACAGATCAGATCCGCGCTCGGTTGATGGATGCGGTCTTCAATGCCGGCAAGTTCAAGGGCAGATGGTTCAGCGATGTGGCAGGCGGGTGCAGGGCCAGAGCGACACGGCGAGAGCGAGTGGAGCGAGAAGAAGCCAAGCAAGTGCCTCCCTGTAAGCGCTCACATGGGTTTATGATTTTGAGGTACCCTTTTCAGGCTTGTCTAAAGCGAAACTAAGAGGACAACAACAATGGTAGCGCCCCCTGTTTTATGCTTTGGACACGTGCTCAACAATGCCGTTGCGTTTATTTCGGAACCTCGAAGAAGATGATTGAAGGCTCATGGGTGCATGTTGTTGCTTACTGTGTGGCGCAATGTGCAACAATTTGCCTCGGTTCAGTCCTCCCAGTTTCTCGTGGCACCCCTTTGCCTTGTCCCTTCCAGTTTGTCATCTCGGGGCCAGCGGAAAAACCAGTAGAACCCGCAGAAGGCCAAACCTTAGGGCAGAGGAAACCGCAAGGGGCCGACTCGTAAGGCCTCATTTTTGGGGAAAACCCTGTGGGCTGCGGGCTGGGGGTCTGTGGTGTAAAGGGAGGGCTCGCTCGGCACCCGGAGGCTCGGAGTCGGCCTTTTGCGCCTGGGCCAAGAAGCAGAAGCAGCCCCCAGGAGCGAATGGGACCCGCAAGGAAGGTGGGGGAAGGAATGGCCGAAGGAAAAAAGCATGATACCCCCAAATCAATGATTTAGTAGACCAAGTACGAGGCAGAATCTGAACAAGTGTTGTGTAGTGCACTCTGCGGTTGAGGCAAGGTACCAAGCCGTGCAAGGCTTGTGGTGATAGGTTTTTGTGGTGATCTGTTTCCATGATACTAGGGACCTTGCCTTGTGGGTGGGCCTTCCAGTGGCATCATAGAAGAAGAGCCAGTTCGCACAACCACGGAGTGCTGTGGTGTTCATTTCGCTGGCGGTCGCCATTCAAGCCTCACCAATCGTGGCATCCGAAGGACCTCTTATGAAGGCTAGTCAATTACAGTAGGTACTGCAGAGACCGCTGGATTGCGACCTTGTTCTATATGGTCCCTGATTTCAGGTTGAGATGTCCCCCAGGTTGACACAGAGCCCAACAAACCATCATTTGTAGAACAATCTCCCTTTTTAGACAGTGACCCCGCTTTGGGGTTCCTATGAAGCTAATGTCTTGGCCACCTCTTTGCCGTTGACCCTCAAATCTCAATGGCCGCGCTTGTTGGCCTCGCAGGCAAACATGCCAAGCCAAGCGAATTTTGTTGCGTAAGGCATGCGTGTGTGCGTACCGCAAAGCAAACAAGAGGCTTGCCGGATTGAACCCCATGGAACGACAGCTGAGCGATTCCATTTCTGTGCCGCAGGCTATTTGCGAGCTTTCGTGGAGTACCTGAAGACTGGGAGGCAGCCGGCCTGCACTTGGAGTACTGGTTGTTCTGATTGGGAGGGATAAAATTTGCCTAGGGGCAACCTTCCCTGCATTTCCAGGATCTTTTTCTTGACCATCGCCAAGAGCAAGGGAAGTTGGGGGGTTGGGGGGGGGGCAACCTTCCCACTCTTTACTCTTTGATTTGCTTTGGACGAATTCTCCACTTAAAGGAGGTTCTTCCTGGTTTTGGACCCCAAATGCCCAAACATGGCTTCAAAAGGGCTTAACAATAGTGTGACCCAAACCTCATTCCCTCACCGCCGAAACAAATATGGTTCCACGACCCTGGCCAGAAATGAATTCACAGTACCGGATTCTTGCACCGACCTTTGGAGGCAAAAATTGCCCGGAGGGATGCCGCTGTTGGCTGGGTTTGGGATCTCTTTGAGGCCTCAAGTGGTGCCCTTTTTGCCCTTTTCGGGGCGAACCCGCCTTCAATCTCAACCAGCCCCCTTCCTCGCGGACATCTGCAAAGTTTGCTGCGTTCTTGTAGCTTCATGTTGTGTTTTGACGATTTGGAGCTCTGGCATCAGTCAGTGGGACTTGGGGCGAGGCGAGCATGTTTTTGCATAACTTTTACCATCAACCGATGGTTGATGGGGGAGGTGTCAATCTTTTAGTGCACTTTTAGGGGGCTTCATCGCCACTCCCCAAAATTGGTGAATTGGTTTGGGGTCAATGTTGAGGTGGATTCCTCCTTGTCACCACTCCTCAGGATTGGTGAATGAATCTGGGGTCAATGTTAAGGTGGATTCATCTCCTTGTCCTCTTGGCATCTTCAATCCGTCCGAGGCGCGGTCAACGTTCTTTGGATACCGTCGTGGTGACACATCCCAGGGTCAAGGAGCCGAAGGCGGAGGACCGGGGGGGGGGGGGGCGACCCTGGCTTAGAACCCGCCAGTGGACAAGAACCGGGTTTGTCCCAAAATGGGGCAACCACCAAAATGGAGGGTTTCCTCTTGGTTTCCTTTTAAAGCAACCCAAAAGCGCACCCCGAAGAAGAGGGTCCGGTCCGATCCCAAAGGAGATTCATCCAATCAGCGTGTTTGCGGGGATTTCCACTGGATTTGGTTTTGTCTCAAAGTACGCAAGGCAGTGGGGTTGCAACCTCGAAAAGCGGACCCACCACGACACACTCAACTGGACAGAGACCCTTTACTGCTCTTTTTGGTGGCTTTAAACTTCACCTGTTGCCAATTTGAGGTGAATTATGTTTCAAGGGGAATTATGGGGACCTTTGGTGGAGCCTGCTTCTGTTTCCCCTTGAAACAGTTTCAAAAAAGGGTTTTAGCTTCAAAACACACACCCGTGGAATCTCCTCCAAAACAATTTCACAGGTACACACACATATAGCACACACAATCTAGAACGGAAGCAGAAAACCACGGAGTTTTTGGAGGGCAAATACTGGCAAAGCCCCCCCCAATGTCGTTCAGATGGGTTTTTTTCCACAAATGAGGAATTTTGGAACCCGGCCAAGCAGTCAGCTCAGGAGCCATTTTTTTTGTCATGTTCCTCCCCCCCGGAAAAGGATTCGGGAACCCGGCCCAAGTGTCACACAAAAACAGCCGGCCGTCAGAGGAGAAGGAGAAGCCGGGCCAGGGCTTGAAGTTCGACTTCACCATGGCCTTGGAGGTCCGGGCATTTGAGATGGGGGGGGATTTACTTGCGGGTCTCCATTGGGGGGGTGGGGGGGGGGGGGGGGTGGGAGGTGGGGCGGATGTTCGTTGCCTGTGGTTCCTTGATTTCCCACTAGGGGTCTCCCTCTGGGCACTCCCATGTTGAAGGCTCTTTGCAGTTTTGCTCATGTTTTGAGTGTAGCCAAAGAACTGGTTGTTTCCCCACGACTTCTTCTAGAAATTGATCCGGATGTCTTCAAGAACGGGCAGCGTCCCGCGATCAAACACAGCCAGTAGTTTCATTCAGCGCAACTTCTAATGGATGTTACTCATGAAGGTTTCTTGCATAGGGATCCAATTTTTCTTTCGTTTGTTAAACTTCCTTTCTGGAGCTGAACAAAGGCACCGCAATCGTGCGGCCGACGAACTGACGAACATGAAGAAGGTTCGTTAATAACAGTTTGCATGGACACCGGCAGGAACCCCTTCAGGAAATCGGAGCACCCAACACGTGGGACCTGTTTGGATGCAACGGCAGAAGGAGAGAGAGCACAAAAAACCTGCAGGAAATATGAAAAACCGACATTTTCTTGTGTCTTAGACTGCCCTTTCAGTGCTCGGAAGCGCCAGTTGGTGAGCCCCGATGAGTTCGAGGTGGGCCCCGAAGATGCCGACCTCGAGGCCGGTTTTATGCTGAGCCGGAACCGGGTTTTTTCGCCTGAGCTTTTGGCTGCTCACTTCCTGAGTTCCTGGACTTTATAATTTGTTGGAAGACCATTTTAGTGACAAATTGCCTTGGCAAATGAGGAAGGTGATCATCGTTCATGTCTGGCTCCCTAAGGGGCAGCTGATGGGACAAAAAATGATTTGTTGAGAGGCTCCCAGACCCCCAATGCCAATTTCGTAACGAAGTTGTTCCGTTGTTCCGGATGCAGTGTGAAAAAGATTCCACTGACTTTTACATTGAAACTGGATGTCCCTGATTGAGAGCAGCTGGAGTTGGCAAAGAATCGATTGATTCAGAATGGGATTAGTTTTGCTGAAGTATTTCGTTTAGGGGGATGGTCGCTGGAAAAACATATCTACAGGTGATTGATCGAGGGGGAAGTGATCCATATGTTTACCTCATCAGGAGTTTAGCACTTGGGAAGGGTCATTTCCTCGCAAGGAAGCCAACCTCTGCCCCCATCTCCCCCCTCACAAAACCTGCGAGCGTGATTATCCGGGCGCCATGTGTTTTCCGGACCCTGGATTTGATTTTTTGCTTCCGGGGGGGGACGTCTTGTTCCCATTTTGCGTGCTCAAGTTGGATCGCATGTGCTTGTGTGTTCTGTCGCTTCAAGCCGTTTCCCGGGTTTATTCATGTTTTTTCTTTTTTTTGGCCGAAAGGGGGGGGCAAGTTGGTAGACATCGGCCGTCAACTTGGCTTTGGCTTTGGCTTGAGCTCGGGGGAAGGCGCATCCTTCGCTTCAGCCGTGCGAAAGTATTTGGGGCTCTTTATGGCTCCCGTTCGCAACCTTGGGGTAGGGGGAGGTTTTTTTTCCTTCTTTTCGACGAGTCCGTTTGACCTGGATGCAATGTTGGCTGCCTGAGCATGTGGCTATCATTGTAGGCACAGGATCATCTATCATAGATGTTGTTGTTGTGGCGGATGTCGGATGTGGAGAGAAAATTCGCCTCGGGATTCAGCGTAATCCTCGGCAGGGTTGCAGTAATACAGTTGGGTGACAGAAGCTGGTGATTTGAGTTTTAACTCCTCGTTACTTACTGCATGACGGGAATCATGCCTAGTTGCTCACCTACCCCAAAAGGGGCACCAAAAACTGGAAACATACTACTCAGTGGGTCAACATAGTCAGGAGTGGCTAGACTTAAGTCACCTTCTTGCCCCATTTGCTCTATTAAACGCGTTTGGCTTTCCTCCATTCCCGGTTTCAACCACAAGGTAAGAGTTTGCCCAGGACGACTCCATGTTTTCGGTTCCTGTAAGCTTTTAGCCTTTAGTCCTACTCCTTCACGTTTTTGCGTGGTTCCTAGCACCTTTTTGGCCCACAGGCCCATACGCGAGTTTGGTAGGGGTATACCCTGAGCAACCGCATCAGACACCGCCTTTTCAGTCAAGCGTTGCCATGCTACCAAAAAGCAAGCGGAAGTATAGCCCCTTTTCATCCCTTTTCTCACGTCCTCAGTCATGGACTTCAAACTTTTTTGAGACAGTTTGCGTGGTTCCAAACCAGTTTGACTTTTTTGCCGACCCACTCATAGCACTTGAGTGCTTAAGGAATCCCAACCCATTTTAGCTGAGCAATTCCTTTCCAAAACCGGTTGGACGTTTTTTTGGCCCATCCGAGTCATGGACTTCAATCTTGTTTAGGAGGACCATTTTAGTGGTACCTACAGAAGTCCGACATGTTTTTGCCCATCTACTCAGGAAGCAGCCCGCTGTTTCGCCCTGTTCGATCCGCCAGGTGCCCCGAACGTTGCGAAACGCGCTGTCGCAGCGCCCGGATGCGACGCCCGCGGCCGCGAACTCGCGGTGGCGCTTCGCGGCCAAGTCCTACGTGGCGGTGCTGCGGTGGCTGGACTCGCGGCGGGCAACCGGCCCATTATTAGGGGGGATGCCTCCAAAAGTGGTCTGAATCCCCACTAAAAGGGACACCCCCCCTGTTCATCCACTAGGGGGTTATTAATCCGGGGTTAACATTGACGTGTTGAATTCCTTTCTTCCAAGACCCCCCTGATTTATGCCTTTTCATCAATCCGGGGTCCACATGATTTCCTTTTTGACCCGATGCTGCCTGACGCGCCACGCCGGTCAAGTCAAACTACTACACAAGACATCAAACATCAAAAGGGGATGGGGTGCGGGGCGCGATCCTGTTCCAAGGAAGCCAGGTTGTAGGGGCGAAGGACGGATCTGCCTATTCTATAGCGAGCTCACCTGGGAGTTTAGCTCACCATAAAGGTCCTTTACTTGGGCATCCAATTCTTAGTTCAGCTTTTGGAATTAGAGTAAAGTTTGTTCAAACTACACAAAACATCCAAAGGGGTGGTTGAGAGGCGCGCGCGCGATCCTGTTCCCAGGAAGCCAAGGGGCGAACAGATGAAGCAAAGTTGACCCGAGGAATGGAACCCCGAGTTCCGGTGCCGCGTGAGCTCTGTGCCCGGGTGGGTGCTGATGAATGTGCCGGCCTTCCGAGACGCAGCGGACCAGGCCCGGAAAGCGCACCAGTGGCCCAGGGCCCAGTTCAACATGGGCAGGGCGATGGGTTTCCCCATATGTCGCCCCATGTGTCAATACGAATCCGCGTAGCTTGGCAGTCACTCCATGCCTGGTTGGTTCGTGGTTCTCCCCTGAGATTCAAGTATTCATAGGGCTTGATCCATCCCTGGTGGACGATTTTGTCCAACCACACGAATCCCTTCAGGCCATGAACAGGGTGAAAGCAGAGGGCACATTTCCCTGCATGTGGCAAAGTATGGGGGGGGGGAGGGACTAAACTATGTTGCCTTCTGAGCCATTGGCGCTCCCGCGTGTCCCACAGCCCTTAGGTCTTGAAATTCACACCCATGCTCCCATTCCATGTTTGTTTGGTGGGTTCCCTTGGGTAAACCAACCAAAAGGGAAGGTGCCCCTACAACGCCAAGTAAGGGACATCCCGTTTTTGTCTTAGCAAGCCGCTCGCTCCCATTGTTGATCTCACTTCCCCAGTTAGAGGACTTGTTTTGGAGGCCGACCCTTATCAGAGAGGTTGCTCCAAATGTTCAGAATTTCTCACCGAACGGGTAACGCGAATCTATGCGTACCGCTTAGTTTGTGGTTTGGGGAATTAAGCCCCTGGTTCTTGAGGGCAAATAGGAAACCACCAATCCCAATCACCCCATGTTTAACGGATCCACAACACAGGCAACACTTCTTCTCAGCTGTTCTTTTTTGGTTTCACGTTTTTAGTTTCCCAAAAGGTGATCACGTTTGATTTCCAGGCCCCAAGTGATGTCACCGACCACTCCGCAGGTCCAGGCGGTCAACTCCTTGCGCCTCTCCAGTGCCACTCTGCAGCTCCTGGCGGAGCTCCCGAAGCCGGCGCCGAAGCCGGCGCCGAAGCCGCCGGACCCGGCGAAGGACGGCCGCGGGTTTTCTGGGTGCCGAAGCCAGGCATCCGGTTCCTTGGCTTTTAGTGTTTAGTGGCTGTTTCCAGTTAACCCACTAAAAGTTGGTCACTTTTAGCGGGGGATCTGAGGGCAGCGCAGGAAGGGGATGGTGAGGAAGAGAGGCATAAATTGCCTCTGGGGCTTGCGGGTTGGATCTTTGACCAACTTGGGGAGCATGTGCCATGTTTGCCATGGAGCGGCAAGTTTTTCGCTCGGCCGCGGGGCAATAGTCAAGCAGAATGGAAAGAGCCACTTCACGCGAGGTGTCTTGAAGTGATTAAACGAACATAAAAGTATCGACGGTTCGACTCAGAGCCCGGGACTTTAATTTAAACATCTTCGGCCTGGGGTGAGAGAAGCAGGCGGCCATATCCACCCACGTACTAGCACATAAGCAAGTGACAAGTCTTCCAGCGCCGGCCAGGTGATCATTTTTTTGTTTTCGTCTGCTCTTGGAACGTGACATGCTATGCGCTCTTGCAACGCGGGGGCAGCCAGGTTTGACGGAATTGCTTCGTCGATCCCGAGATTTGAACAGGCAAAGGCTGGTTGGGTTGGCTTCAGGTTTGTCACCTCCTCACTGCTTCAGTGACTTCGGCCACTGCGCACTAGCCATGCTCAGAGCAGCAGGCTTGTTTATTGTTCCAGTTCTTTGGTGGCTTACCGAATCACAAGCCGCTTTGCTGCTGGCGCGAGGTGTGGTAGCACAAGATGTGTGGGGATTTGTGCATACATGCAGGCATTTTGGCCCTGATCTCAAGTTTGAAGCCGCCCGATATTCTGTTCCCTGGGATGTCCCCGCTGCTGTTGCGCGCCTTGATCGGTATGCAGGTGCTTGCCCAGACAATCGCAGGAGGACGCTTTGCCATCGTTTGGCATGTTTGTTTCTGTCTTGTTTTCACATCCAACGTCCCCATTTGATAGTTGTTTTGTGCAGTGAGAAAGCCGTAGACAGCCAAGGGAGTTCCGAGAAATTCCTGCAGAAGTCTGCGTCTGGTTGCGATTGCTCCTGGATTGCCAATGATGATTGCATCAGCCAGGATTCATGCGCCGTTTCCTGCCGCCAACAGTTTGGCAAGTCTTGCGGCGGTAGCGGCAATGAGGTTAGCGATGCAGCATGCCGAGCAAGTTGCGATTCCGCCTACAGCAGTTGCGATCGTTGGTGTCACATTTCAGACGCCACTGGAAGTTACTACACCGCTGCAGAGGAGGAAGCAATGAAGGGTGAAATCCTGCAGTGTGGGGGACAATGCTCAGTGACCCGTGGCACATGCTACCAGAAGTGCTAGCGGCATTGACCCGGTGGGCCAATTTTGTACTGTCTGCGTATGTAAAGCGGCAACCATTCTCTCAGAAGCAGAGAGGACTTTCTCAGAAGCAGAAAGATATCCCAGTTGCAAGCACGCAGGACCATATTTTAAATCCAAAAGGCCCAAAAAGATGCTGGCAGAGCAGATGCCTCGTGTTTTGAATTTTGAATGGTTTGCAATCTGATCATGGGATGCCGGATTTTAGGAACCTCCATTCCGAGTTCATCTTCCAAATAGGTTGGATGTTGTTCTTCTCCGGAAAACTGATCAAGCTTGAACTAGGCAAGCAGAGACCAGTGAGGCATTACACCCTCATCTCGTGCCGTCACTGGCACAAGATGTGGGGAACTGTGCATACATGCAGGTCTTCAGGCGCGTCCTTTGGGTGAGATAGTTCAACGGAGCATATGGAGCTCCACGGCTCGGAAGGTGAGAGATGCTCGGAAGGCATGGGACGCTTTGCAGTGCAACCCACGTGACTGAATCATGTCTAGGTGTGTAAGCCGTTTGGCACAGGTGTGCCGGGCTGAGATCGTCCTTCGTTTGTTGGGCTTGGGCCATAGTGGTCGGTCCCAAATCCAATCCTTACTGATCAAGGGGTGCCCCATTCGTGCGGAGTCCTTTCGGGGGAAGTTTGCCGGGCTTTTGTGAATCACGAGTCAGCATGAATTAGGGTGATGCTGACTTCTCCTAAGCCAAGCTGTTTAGGGTTCAAGTTCAAACTTTGCTTTGTTGCGTTTGTGTAGCGGTTGGAACCGGCTGGAACCCAACTCAACTGAACGGATTTAGCTCTTCAAGCCCCCCCCCAGCTTTGATATTGGGCCAGCCTCAGGCCAGGTGGCATTGGCGTTCCTGTTGCAACCTTGTTCTGGTGGTATTCCCGTTAGTTACGGAGGGCTCCCCTCCCATTTTGAGGAACCCCGAGTAGATATGCTGGCTCTAAGCATCGAATAAGGAGCAATGGCAACCCTGTGAATGACCATGCCTTGTGCTCGGCTTGCGGTATTTCGGGAACCAGCCGTTGGTCCTCCAGGAGAAGCTGAATCTGGAGGGCCTGGGTGGTACTTTGCTTCCCTTCCAGGCAGGGTGTGGAGACGAGTCTTGGGATTGGGAGTTGATGTGATTCCTGTTGAGCGTATACCTGAAGCCGCGAGAAAATCAATCACCTAAAGTCTGAATTCGAGACGTTTCCGTTTTGCAACCTCCTCGTGGGGGGTTTTGTTTGGGATTGGATCTTTTGGGTTGCCAGGGTGGTTGGGGTGGTCCGGTTAGCGTGATCTGAGTAACGGTAAAATAATTCCACCCATGGAGACAGAGTTCAAAGTTCGAATTTGACATGTCAGATGAGGAAATGGCATCTCTTCCCCACTTTGGAGATGTCCTTGCTTCCTGAGTTCCTGGGCTGAAAGCTTTTTTTTGGGTAGACCATGTTAGCCGAAAATCAGAAGTTCGAACTTTTTCTGACCGATACACTCGGGAAGTGAGTCTGACCCTGGAAAAGCCGGCCTGCGATGGGACACATCAGCCGATTGCTCGCAGGTGGAGGCAGTGAAGATCGGCCTGGAGCGGCATGGCAGGTGGGTCGCCAGGGATGGCCTTGCTCCGAGCTTGCGTTGAAAAGCTGCCAAGAGAACTAGGTCACCCAGTAGTGCCCTTTTACCCCATTTTTTTGGGGAGGGTTCCCCTACTAAAATAAACTAAAGAAGAAAGGGCACCCTTGTTGTAACCTTGTCCTGCTGGAGGACCTAGAAAATATGTCGGCAGAGTCTGAGTGGTCCATTGACATGGCTCCTTTTGAAGGGGAGATAGAATTCCAGGAGCACTCAGTCAGGTTCCAGGTCAACCGACAGAAAGGTAGGGGCTGAATATGCAACAGAAGCAGACACTATTAAATTCTGTGTGCTCCAGATGCGGGCCATGGTTCCACATGGGGCAGCTTGGTGGACAAAGGTCGATTCCACAGATTCAGGTAGGTTCTCATTTGCCATGGTCTAGTTGGGGGCTAGAAGCTGAGGTAAGAAACACCCGGAACTGCCTTCTTAGACGGTTACTGAGGTCTTCTCCATGTTTTGTTTCTTTGAGGATCGGCTAAATATGAAACAACATTTGCACATACCGGCGTTGGGCCAAGATTAGGGTGGCAGATTGCTTGATGGATCCCAGTCTTGGCGTCAAACTGCAAGAGCTTTTGTTGCGATTTCGCTGCAGGTCACATTTTGCATTGCAAACGCTCTTGGCCGAAATGAACAAACGCCACTTGCCATTTTTCTCCGGCCCCACGCACAATGCGGACGGATCCGGCTGGCTCTCTGGCGCTCGCAGGTTTGACAGGGGTTCGCGACCAAGGTGTAAGCTACTTACCAGCCCTTCAAGGCCTTAGCATACCAACTGCTTGGCTAACAACACCCTACCAACGGATTGCCAGCAGTATTTGTGAGGCTCAGTGCTCAGTATTTGTTCCGGCTGTCATGGAACCTCGCACCCGGCAGCTTCGATTTGGGTTCACTTCAAGTCGAAGTGCCTGGGGGTGTCATGGGGGGTGTCACGCCCTTTAAGGCCTCAAGGGGCTTAATCTGGGCTGGGCTTGGCATGGACTCCCCACTGCATGCGGAAAGCTTCTGGCCGTGTGATCCCTTACGTGTCGGTGACTGAGTGAGGACATAGCAACAGAAGAACTGTAGGGGCATTATTCCCAAAATGCACTTTCGCACATGTGCGGAAACCTCAATTGAGACCCCCCAAGTCTGAACGTTTGCTTGAAATATCAGTGCAGGATGTTTTACTCAACTTGCTTTTTCCGCCCGAAACATTCGGAACGGGGTGCGGAGCTGGGCTTTGACCACCGCCTTGCCGCGAACGGGCGGATTTGGAGAACCCATGTGTCACCCACCAGGCGAGTCCCGCCTCGCCCACGATGTGAGGCTCAAGCTCCCAAGCTGGAGTGCATGTCAGGCGAATGAGCCATAGCCCATGGCAGGGATCTTCCTTTTTTCCAGGATCCATATGTTTTGTTTTTTTCAATGGGACACCCCAAATGGGTGGGGCTTCCTTTTGGTTTCCCTTTGAAGCCAACCAACGACAGGCCCATATGTTTTGGGGCCCACTCGGTTCTGCTCATCCCGCTTTTCACAACAGTCGGCAGCAAGCTGCCGTCGAACAGCCGCATTCAACAATGTTCATCGATGCTTCCCCTCATTTACTGCAGGTTGTAATTTGATGTAATTTGACGTTTCGGGAACGACTGATTACAGCACATGCTGTTAACCACGGAGCTGCGAAAATATCAGAGTAGAAGTGAGACTTTCCGCGACCTGAAATGGGCACAAGACACATGTTTGGATTCATGAAATTTGGGTAGACTCCTTCGGTTTGGATCCGGCTTGGGCTTTGAGCTTAAGCCCTGTGCCCCAGGTGGGATCGGCCAATTCCGTTGGTCCAAAATCATCGCACGACGCGCTGAAGGAATTTTAAACTTTGGGTGATCTAAACACCTTTTGACAAATTTGAACAATAAAAGCTAAGGAAAGAAAGCAAGTAGACAAACACGGAAAGTTTTCGCCGCGCACCAATTCCAAAAAATCGAAGCTTAGCAGCCCAAAGTGAGATTCTTGGGTGTTTGGAAAAAACGTGTTCTTTTGGCCGCTTGAACAGAGTTTCTTGGGGTGAAGCACTAGCCCCGCAAAAGAGAACACTCCGCCCACCGCCGCTGCGAGCCGAGCGCGAAGCATGGGCGATGAGCTTCCCCAAAGGCCCCAGAGGCGTGGGAGGTTTCCACATTGGCCCGGTGGAAAAACCACCTTGTGGATTCCCCTCTTCCCCGTTTCGCCTTGTGGGCTCCCGGGGATGGGAACCAAGGCTTGGCTCACTCGAAACCATGACTCATGTATGTGTGTGATTTTTGGCCCTTGTTCACCGGGATTTGAAGGGGCGATTTTTGCTGGTCCCTTCGTTTGTTTTGGCACACCCGACAGGCCGAGTTGCTCAGTGGATCCCAGTGTCAAAGTCCATACTTTCTTCGTGGGTTCCAAACCATGAAGACGGACGCCACCACTAATGATCCCCTGCTGCTTTTCGAGGGAGGACGTTTCAGGGGAACTCCACTAGTGGCTTGCAAGTGAGCAGCAGGGATGAGCGCCCATCGGTTGGAACATGCGGAGTGGGGTGGGGGAAATGAATGTTATCTTCCTGCGGTAACATTGTCGTGGCTACGGCTCTGTGTGGGAAGTGACCTATCCCTGGAAATTGTGCCCCAACTGTCAACAGTCCAGGAAAGCTGCTCAGCAGTAAGAAGGAGGATTAAGGGCCCGTTTTATCAGGCGCCCGTTTGACATTAGTCCAGCAGACTGACATCTTCAAACACGTCGTTGGCCCTACACCGGAGGCGTGTGCCATCCCTTCGCCGAGACTTTTGACATCTTCCACAGTGACTGCCGGGCCTTATACGCGAAGCTCGGCCGATCGATCAAGGGAAGCGTTCAACCCTTCCTTTTATGGGATGGTTGTGCCCCAATTGCTTTCTTTGACCCCGTTTTTCCATGTATGTGAGCCATATGAGGGATACATATTGGGTGCATATATTTGGGGCACAGGGCCACAAAACTATTCATGGCTTGGCAGCGTGGGGACCAACCACTGAAACCCCAGCACAAAAATATTTTGTCCGACATCTTCTTACATGACAGGCGAGAATAAACGGCCTTTTCCGGTGTGGGTGTTTGGAGTATGGATGCTTATATTGCAGCAATAGAAGCTTGTGAGGCCGTATTTGCCCCTAAGTGGTATATATAGCCACCAGACTCCGACACTGATACCTGGAAATGCCTCTATAAATACTGAGGGACCACCTACCAACTCAACTGGTGTGAAACGGATTTTGTCCGCCCACAGTGTCAATCCACAAGGGGGGTTCATCAGGGTCAACATAAATCCGAAGTTGACATTCAAACATTCTCCTGGATGGATTCCCATTCCCCCTTCCCAGGATGGGAAACTGATTCTGGGGAAGCTGATCTGAGCTTAGGACCGTTGGGTCATATGGTCATGGTTCAAAATCCCGTACCCCCAGTGAACATCCCGACTAAAATGGGTGGCGCACCTACCCCAAAATGGGATCCCATCGGTTTGGACAACAGCCATATGACTTGGGATGCGCCGAGGCAGCGGTTCCCGCTGTACCCGCAATGGGAGTACCTGCTGCAGAAGCAGAACTCCCTGGCGCAGGAGGTGCTGAACTGCACCACCGTCCAGCAGCACCTCGGACGGAGTAGAACTGGCGGCAGGGTACTGAAGAGCAAGGGGCAGGTTCTTTTTTTTTGTGCGTGTGTGTGCTTGTTTTATGTTTTGTTTTCTTTGTTTGCTTTTTTTTTGTGGGTGTGAGTTTTTTCCTTGGTGAGAAGGAAGGGGAGTCCAAAAGGAACAGCCGCCCATGCTTTTGAGCCCCCTATTCTGCCGCTCGGTTTGTTTGGCGAATCCAGAGAACCCGCGGTGGTGTTGTAAGTTTTGGTGTTTACTTGGTATATCACCAAAACCTTTCAGGCTCTCCAGGCAGGATGTTTCACATTGAGCATTGGAGGATCTAATTTCATGAGAAACCAGTAGGGAAATCTACATGAAGATTGCCAAATACCCACCACAACCATGGGACTCTCAGGAAGTTTTAAGTGCTGCAGACAGTTCTGGCGATTTCGAGGTGCAGCCTGGGGGTGCTCTTTCTGAACATCGGCGCCCTGCTGGCTCCGGGATACAGCGCGCTGCTGGGATATAGTGCGATTGCGCATGACCAGTCGGCTATTGGGTTTCGCCCGTTAGAAAGACTGGCGCCAAACAATCAAACATGACATGAGGCATTTGCTTTGACGGGGGCAATCATTTTGTTGGGTTTCTGTAAATCTGCAGGGGGGTTAGAGCTTGAATTCCCGTTGAACCGCCCAACATCGCCTCACCATCCGGCTCGGGCTCGGGTCCGCGACAAAAACCGCAGGGACCATGGCCATGCCGTTCCTTGGATCCTTTCGCATTGGATGGCCCGAAAGTAAGCCAAAGAAAAGAGGCGGGGTGGATAATGTCTTTGGTGCATTTTGCTTGGATGTTAGGACTTTAACTTTTTGCCAACTAATGGGGGTTCCATTAAGCCACTAAAAGTTAAACTTTTAGCAGGGGAGCAGAAAGCAACCGAGATGTTGCGATCCAGGGACCACAAGGGCGCACAGTCCTCCTCGCAAGAACGCCTTGGTAAAACTTCATGAGGCTTAGCCAGGTTTGATAAGACCATTGGGCCATAATTGCTTCAGGGAAGGCCTTTTCAGCTGGATCCAGCTGTGCTCGCAACTCATGTTTGTACGCCACGCGGATGAACTGTTGCAAGAAAGCCCGCCTGGATCGAATGGAAAGACTATACAGGAAACGCATTCCCTTTGGGCGAAGCTTGGTCGAACACAGCGACCTCGCATTGACCATTGGGGTCGTCTCATCCCAGTTTGGGGAATCCCTACGTTTCTATGCGGGGCATGTTCCATCCGAAGGCTTGCCCACGGTCCCATAATTTCTTGGGGTTTGCGTTTTTCCATGTTTTTGCCTT